AATAATAAAATAGCTGGATATTTTGGGATACAAGGAGAAACACCATGAAAGTGCATGTAATCACCATGTAGGTAAAAATCTTTATTGAATCGAAGGGTTTTTAACGGTTAATCAAGGAATGTACTTCAGGAATCTATTAATGAACTAAAACTACTAGTGACCTGAAATTGTCTAAACCAAAGGTCAAAGTAATTATTTCCTAAATAAAATTAAAATTTCCTTGAAATTTTCTGAAAATATGATTTCACTACCAAGTTGAGTAACATGTTCTGTCTCAAGATCTAGGGCTTTTAAATTGTAATTCTGGTCTGTCCAGGTTAGATTAAAATACCAGTGTCAATCAGAAGATGGAGAAAGAAAGCAATGTGAAACTTCACATGTCATTGGATATCAGCATAAATAGAACTACTGTGGTGGGAAAATTGAATAAATTAAACAAGATATCTGAAGATTGAATTTCAAAAGTCATATTCATATTTACTGAATTTTTTCCCTTTATCCTATCAAGCAAATGTATTTTTACACAGACTATCTGGAAAGCAGCTCTGCCTGTCAACTTTGAAGTCTTGTAGTTCTTCATAAAGATATAACTTCTATCACTTCCAGTTGAGTAATATTGATAAAAATGTTTAATATCTTGATAATCAAGATATTAAACTTCAACATATTTTAATATATGTCTCAGAATTATCCTGATATCATGTGGCATAATATTTAGAAAGTGCTTATGCCTTAGTAGATGTTTAGAAAATGCCAAAAACCATGACTTCATAGGAGCACAAACTTATTGTTTCTGATGTTTGTTTCAACAAGGAAAGACATATATTATGTAGGTGCTTAATGAATACATTTACAATGCTGTCAGTATCTTTGGCTTTCACCTTCATGCTCTAAGCTACAGAGCTTGCCTGCCATTTGAATTTGCACTGTCTATAAACACTTACAGGAGATTTATTAAATGAATTATTTAAAATACTATGCACCTGTAGAAAAAATGGAAAAGCACTGTAGTTTTAGAGGTTATTTTTAATTGAAAAATGAAGATAAAATACAGTATACAATATTTGCCTTTTGTTTTCAAAAAGTAGAAGGAATATACAATTGTGTTAAATTGTTTTACATGGAAAATTTCATGGGAAATTATGTAAGAAACTAATAAATAATGCTATCTACAGGGTTTTATGGAACTTTCCAATGATTTACATTTATATTATTGGAATATAGGCATGGAAGTTAATAAAATGAAGCTTAACAAAGGGAGAAGAAGGAGCAAATTGGGAAAGAGCAATTAACTAGATTAGCTACATATTTTTAATAAATAAACATAGGCCTAACATAATCAACAGGTTGTATATCCTATACCTTCCTATGCATCCTGAGCCCTTTACAGCAAACACAATATTCATTTGTCTTTATATTTTTATAGGCCTTAACTCAGCATTTTTACTCAGTAAACAATAGTTGATTGATTGTCATTTAAACAAATGCTGACAGCCTCTTTCAATTGTTCATATCTTACAATGTCCTAACATATTCCATATCTCTGTGAAAGGTCGTTTAATGATTGACAAGCTTTCTTAAATGCTATTTTTTTTTTGGTCTTTTTCATTTTTATCGGTACCAGGGATCAAACTCACGACCGCCTGCTTGCAAGGCAGGTGCTTATGCCGCTGAACTAAATCCCCAGCCCCATTGACAAGCTTTCTTAATCAATATAGCATTCAATGAACTTATTAAGATCAGGCATGGTTAGGTTCCATTTTGATACATTTGAGTAGCGCCATTTTTATACATTGTACTGATCTTTTGAGCCTTGTCACTCTTAATGGCATGTACGATTCACCTTTTGTGTAGCTTAATGCAATATCAAATAGAGGACATAATGAATAGAAATATATTTGAAGGTGCACATAAGCCTCTAAGCTATTATTCCATTCAAGACATTTGGCAGTTAAAAATCTGTTACAATTAAACTCCTTTGAGATAGTAATTCATGATGAGAAGACTGAATACTCAAAAATAGTTAAATATTCAGAAGCTTTATTCTAATAAGAGCATAGATATCAAAGAGCTCTTTCAAATGTATCTCCAGAAATTTCAAGTATATCTCCAGAAAGCTAAATCTAACTATGGTCAGGATTATTATGGACACAAAGTGTGCACAAAATATTTATACTTGAAAAATGTTACCAAATTATATGCTAAGCAACCCAACTCCTCATTTGGGGGGATATTTAGGGAAAATTTTTATACAAAACAATGTAGATATAGGTAAGAGATTTAGCTAAGATTCACTCATTTCAGAATTTATTTAAACTTTATATGTATGTATGCTTCATTTTTGTTTTACAATATTTTTCATGAGGGTTACATATAACTAATCAGGATGAGCAGACTAATTGACAGGAAATATGACTGAATGAGATAAATTCAAAATTTATTTATTTCAGAAAATGACAGAGCTACAGTTCTCAAAATGAATTCTATGAAGTGTTAAGTATTTGTGAAATGCTAGTGCACTGATTCAGTAGGTATTGTCAGCGCCGTACAGTGTAACAGACATGGTGCTTGATCTTGTGATGTTTAAGTTGTGTTGAGAGACATAAATCTCAAAGGAAAAAGTATGTCAAATCATGGGAAATTCTAGGAAGCAGAATGAGGATTCTGAGAGAAATAGAAGATGAGGACACAAAGCATACCATTTTTACACAGTGTATTTATGAAAGGTCCCCTAAATAAGCAGAGGTTACTTGACCAGAAACATAAGGTAAAAAGAGAGAAATCCGGACAATGTAAATGCAGAGTGTTATTGGCAAGTGAAAAATGAGCAAATGCAAGGGCCCGGAGGTTTTACAATGTCCTTGGAAAACCAAAAGAAAATCAAGAAAGTTAGTGTGGCTGGGGAGGAGATACGGAAGCAGAGCTAAAGATGCTTGGAGTGTCTGAAGCTTACAGACTTTGGGATCTGTCCTGAGGGAACAGGAGTCACTGGAGACCTGAAGAGAAAAGTAAAATGCCTTGTTAAAATCACTAATCAGCATGTACAATTTCAACTATCTTGAAATATAACTTGTCAATTTTATATTAATCATAGAAATAACTATTATATAAATATAATGATATATGTATAGCTATTATTAAATATTTACTATAAATGAAACATATATCAGGTTTTGAACATGTTTATAGCAAAACTTTTTTCCTAATTTTATAAATTTTAATATATTTCTTAATAATACGGTACAAATACTTTGTACATTTTGAGATATATCAAGAAAATTTACTTGTCAAACTCAAGAGAAATTCATCGATTTCATTCTCATTTTTCCAGCAATGCCTCAAGTTAAATAAAATTTTATGACACTTCCTAGAGATAGGGTTTTTTTTTCTGAGCTTTGAAAAACAAATTAGAGCTGTAGAGGTGAACAGATTGGTGAGTTCATGAAGGTGGTATGAATACCTTCATTAAGGGCATTGATTTACGTGTCTGGAGTTCTATATAGTTGGATTCACAGTTCAATTATATTTTTCATCTATTAAGTATGAAGCAGCTGTTAATGCAATAGGAACTACTGAGATCTGTGGTGAAATGAAAGATTTATGTCCACGTTAAATGTTAATAAATATACTTATTAAAGGAAATATACACCTGTTCGTAAAAGTATACATAAATATATATGTACTTTGCAATAGCCAAAAATGCATTTTTAGATCACATTTAATAGATTCGTTAACTTGTGTTACGAGATTTATTATAAAGAGAAAAGTAATTCCCAGTATAATTTAACAAAGTACTTTAAGTTACTCTATTTTGGTAGTTCATAAAAAGATGACAAACTTACAAATGTGGTAGTAAAAGAATGTTGAATAGATTTTTTGAACACTGAAGTTCTAGATGTAGACATAATTTTCTGAGAAACAGAAATATGACAAAATGAACATAGTGGACCTTAGAAAGAGTATATTTGTTTGGGGTTTTGTTTCATTTTATTTCTTTTTGTCTTCTGAAGGCAGAGATGGGTGGTAGTAATAGAAAAAGAACCTTAAGAATAAAATAAGAATTATGAAGAATGAATGTGAGTGTAACTTTCTTCTGAATGCTTCCAGAACTCACGACACCTTTTATACATCTTCAAGTATTAAGATTGGTTTTATGAAATGCTTACAACATCAGAGTGTATGTGGCATTGTAAATATCACAGCGTTTGAAATTTCTAATGTTGTTGTGGAATAGATCACAAAATCAATACCTTGTTGATTCCAAAACTGAGTAAAACTGAAAACATGGTTTTGTACAATATTACTTATAAAGTTTTTATGATAATTGGGGTAATCAAAACTATTAGGACATGAAAGTTAGAAGTACTCTAGGCCAAGACACTTGCTGTATATCCTGGAAAAGCAAGACACAAAAATATTAAGTTACACTGTTCATGATTGCATAGCTAAGCAGTGCATAAATTACCTTTAAGGAAAGATGCTAAGTAAAAAAAATAAAATTACTTAATATTTTATTTTTATAAATTTAAGAAGAATGAATGGGACCTTGCTATCTGATGGAAAACTTTTTTCTTCTGTGCATATTTTATTCAACATGTTTGAAAAAATATTTCCATTGTTTGTGTAGGTTTAAATACAACTTCAAATATTTTTCCATAGCATTTTTTGTATTGTCAGATGTTAATAGCCCTAAGTCTATCTTTTAAAATTAATTTAGTAAACAACGCTACATGCATGTATTACATTATAGAAAGCAAAGTTACAACAATGAAAATTTTTTCTATTTTAAAGAGAAAAAATTAAACAAAATTTCAAAATAGGATATTTAGTCTGGAACGATGGCATATACATTGCATATTGTTATCTTCACCTCAGTTACTCAGAATACAAGGCATCTGCATTTAATAATCAAACAGTACTAGCACAAACCTTTCTATTCAATGAACTCAGTGAAATCAGTAGTGTAATTCTTAACTATCTTTTATACATAGTTTCTTTCAAAAACTATGAACTAGCTTACTAATTTGCATGTCATACTTGAGCGGGGGTGGACCATGCTAATCTCTGTATCATTCCAATTTTAGTGTATGTGCTGCCGTGGCTAGCATGAAACTTTACTTCCTCATGCATAGTCTAGACAAATGGTTAAGTTGGCTAGAATTTTATTATATTTTAATTAAGAAGCCCAGTGGTGATTACAAACATTCTGTGTTAGTATTTATTGTTACTGAATTCATTTAACATTTGCTGAAGTGAAATTAGTTCGCAGCTGATTAGTGTAGCACACAGTTCTATTTTTCTTATAGTTGTTATAGATTAGCTTCTATGATATTTTTTGTATGCATGGTGGACAGTTAACTCACATTCTGTTAAGTTTATAAAGTCTTTTTCCATAGACAAGCATCTGGATTAGCTTCTGTTAACTACTGTTGAAATGTTGGATTTTCGGCATAAACTGGAAAATGATCCTTTCGAGAATATACTGCAAATGACTTTGGAGCTTCTGCTCCTGCCAGAACTTTTGGTTCTGTGGTGCAAATTTAGTCTTTTTATAATTTAATTTTCTACTTTGAAATGTCACTTGTCAAAGACCAGTTCAACTACTCTTCCCGTATACTCAAAATCCCATTACAAATGTCACACGTGATAAGAAATGGATTATTTGGATTTGCCAATGAGTCTAGAGAAACTCTCAGAGATACAATATTACATATTCTCTGTGAAAATGTTTACATGTTTTGCACATAAATTCTGCTTCTAGAATGTGCGTCTCAATACATGTAAATGTCTGTATTATTTCAACTTGATCATGTATGATTTAGGTTAGGCTTCATACAAGCTGGGAAGGCTCCATTCAATATATATATATATATATATATATATATATATATATATATGTATGTATTGGGGATTAAACTCATGACCTTGTGCTTGCCAGGCAGGTGCTTATGCCACAGAGCTAAATCCCCAGCCCCTCAAATTATATTTCAATTGAAAGTTAGCATAAATTGCACCCTTTTGTTGACAGTGACTATTGGTACAAACTGCCAGACAAATTATTTTATTCTTCTAAAACAATTACCGATTTTAAAAATCTTTTCAGTGCTCTTATTTCTTTTGGAAGTAAATAACACTGTAAATAATACCTATTCAAAGGTCAATTGCTATTCACTAAAGAGTGACTTTAAGTTATCTAAACATTCTGAGATCCTAAAATAGACTGTAACATAAAATATTTCAGTAGTTTTATTTTCCATCAGAAACATGGTATCTTAACTGTAAGTCAAAGAAACCAAAAGAAATGCAAAAGCTGAGCAGTTTGCTGAGTTAGTAAAGTATTTCAGTCATATGCTGAATACATGACATTCCAAAAAAGATTACTTGATCTAGTTTTCTATACTTTTCAAATGATATGTTTGTCTTCTCTTTAAAGATGTGGTTGCCATATTAAGAATGATTTGTATATATGAATTGCTTTACAAGTTTCAATTTCCTATTGCTCTTGAATTATACTCCATTTTTTTCTTAAATGTATCATTAACCTCAATTTAGGTATATAAAAATATCTTTCATGAGGAACTATTAATTTTTTCCTGATTAGTGCTTAAAGTACAGATATTGGTGAGTGCTTGTATCTTTGATATTCTGTTTTTTATTATAGTATATATAAAGCTAAAAACTGTGACATCTTTAGAGCTTCAAAATGTTGATGTTGGGGCTGGGAATTTAACTCAGCGTCATAAGTGCCTGCCTTGCAAGCATGCGATCGTGAGTTTGATCCCCAGTACAAATTTCAAAAAACAAGACAAAATGTTGATGCTTTAGTGTATCTCTTTTTGTTTTGCTATATATTGAAGATCCACCGTAATGTATTGTGTGGAGTTGGTCCATATACAAAATATATTTTAATTCTTCTTACCTCCCCCCTGCTCACCTCCCTCCATTGAAGTTCCCTCCATGGATTGTTAATATGTGTACATTCCCCTCTATTTTTCTTTCTTTGAAATAATAAAAATTTATTGTCAGTTTTAAAAAGTTTAATATATTATGCAGAAATTTAAAAAAGTCTATCCAGTGAACTGTCTGTGTCAAGGAGACCAAGGAAGTTGAATCACCTACTGATTCTCATTTCAACTTTTAGGACTAATAATACCCTGGAAAATTTTAAATTTAGACATAAGATGTTGTTTTGATGCAAATCTACATAAGAGGTATGAAATCATAGATTTTTCATTAGGGTAAAGTTGGGAGAGAAACATAGGCTATTCATTCTAATCCAAAGAAGTCAACGTTTGTTGAAGTCTCTTTAAATACTTTATAAAGAAGTATGTACCATAATGTTTTCCCATGATTTATTCAGTATTTTCATGACAAAGGTTTTTAAAAGAATAATAGCAGCTTGTGTTTATATAATTTTTGACAGTTGAAAATACTTTCTCATAGATTTGCTTATTTGATCCAAAATAGAACCAAGCAAGGCAAGGAAAATATGCATTATCATCATTTCATAAGTAAGGAGAAAGGACAGAATAGTTTTCTTAGTTTGCACAGCTAAGAGTAATAATCTGTATCCACAAACAAATTTCAAACTCAGAAACTTTCCATGGAATGTGTGTATTTATGATAGGTCCTAGCTCAAAAGTCCTAGCTCAAAAGCAGGTACAGGAGTAAACAAACAAACAAACAAACAAACAAAAGTCTTTGCAAATATACTCATTTTTGTGATGCAATATTGCACCAAATGGATTAATCACTGATTTTGATAAGGAATTCTAACACATGATGTGAATGATGGTTTGACTGCACACACTGTCTGTTGTTAAGGTGGACAGAAAAAAAAGCCCCAGTGGAACAACACAAATGTCGTTTCCAGAAAGTTTGGAACTATTGGTGCATTTTGACAGTTTTTAATTCTTATCTATGCTTACATTTATAGGTTCAGCAGTGAGTTAGTTGAAAGTCATCTCTGTAGTTCACACTTAAGGAGAAAGATGGAGAACTGAGATTCACCTATTAGTGTCAATGAAAAAGAGAAAGTTAACATCAGAAAGAAACATTTGGTTTTTTCATTATGTACGTGGAAGAGTAGGTGTGGCTATGTCTCAAATTTCTTATGTTCTCTCATTTATATTTTCCCTAGTAGCCCAGAATAAATGCATTACATTTATCTACACTATTATAACTATTTCATAATTCACATGTGCAGTTCTGACACTTTAAATTCTATCATCTATCTATCTATCTATCTATCTATCTATCATCTATCTTTACCTCTTGTGCCTCTTCTGTCTCCTTTCTTTACTGGATTCTTCTTTTGCAACTGAAATATGCTAACACTGTCTAGGGAGGAACCACTATGCCAAGGCAATGCTTTCTGCAAAGTAATGCTAAATGTGTGGTTGTACTAAAATTATCTTTTTTAGCATGCAGATTTGACCATTAGAAATTTGCTTAAACTTCCAAATTAGCCTAAGCCAAGAATAAGGACAATGTTATTTTTGTCTTCCCTGAATTATACATAGTCAGTATTCCAGCGGTTTCAAAAATTTTACAAGCATAAAATTTACTTTCAGTGTTTTATATTAGTACCCATTTAGACTCAGCCACCTAAGATTCTTACTAAGTCTGGAATGAACTTACAAAGTTGCATTTTCAAGTAAAAGCCCAAAAGTGATCTGATGCAAGAGACCTGTGGTCTACTTGTAGGTAAACATTGCAAACTTCAAAAATTCTTACATTTTTTTTTTATTCCAAAGAGGACAAATCAGATGTTGGAAAGAAAGAAAATAGCTCTATAAGTCAGCATACTAAATTAAATTTAATTCTTTATAAGTTTTCCTAAGTATATGTGTTCTTTTTAAAATTTGGCTACAAAATTTCTAAAAAAAAATGTTGCCTGGTCAGGCATTATTAACTTCTTCATTAAGTTCTGACTTAATGGTCAGATTTATTTACAATTTCTTTTGGCTTCTCTGGCAGCTAGATGCAATTATCAGTGTTAAGGAATCTTTACTTAAAAGTTCCTCATCTTGTGCTCCTAAGGCACCCAACTCAATAAATTCACTGCATGACATTTCAGTAATTTTTTATGCATCTAATGAGATTTGTTTTAACAGATCAAAAGCCAACAACAGCAACAAAAAGAGTAATATAATCAACTTAAAAGAGGAAAAGTGTATTTCACATGCAATTTTAGAGATTTCAGACTATGACTGGATGACCCCATGGCTTTTGTGTCTGTGATGTTTCAGTATAGTCTTGATGACAGGATGTGGTAGAGTAAAAATGTTCACCTCATAGCAGTCAGAAGGCAAAACAGGAACGAAGAAATGAGGGTCTCTTGAAGTTCTTTGAGAGCCTCACCCTGTAATCTTCTGCTATTTTCCAGTCCTGCAGGTTGAAAATCAAGCTGCGGACATTTAAACCTTTGAGGGATATTTCATGTCCAAACTATAAGGGTTATGGCTTGACACTTCAGAATTTACAGGTGATCAGATTTTGATGTTGAATTGTCTTGAAAGATGATTCTTATATATTGTAAGCAGTCTATTCATTAAAAGTTGAATCAGAAATTTTAAAATTTTAAAATGGAACAATTTTAATACTTGGTTGAACCCAGCAAAGAAACACAGTAAAAAAAATATTTTTTCAGAACAGCAATACTGAAACTTCTACAGGAAATCTGTAAAATCTTGTGGATTATAAGAGGTAAATATTCTATTGTCAGAGGAAGGAATTATAAATATCCAAGGAATGACAACTAAAATGAATATAATAAAGCTGTCCTTTTGGAATTATGGTACCAGCATACATCCATATAGATATAGGGATAGTTTTAAGAATATATATATAGTTGTGCTTAGATACATACAAGATCCATAGATACATGAATATTATTTCTAGCTCTAAGAATTCTGGAAAGCAATAGCATCTACATGCAACTGACCAAACTTCACATCGAGAATTCTATTTCTAAATTTCATTCCCTAGTAAAGAGTACACAGGAATTCTTGTACATATGCATGACTTAAGGATTGAAATATGAGAAGTTTTCATTAGAACATCTTATAGTGTTAAAAAATAAAGATAAATAACCAAGACAATGTCA